AATATAAATAGTTCAGAAAATATAAACTATATTTGGTACAATTTCAGATTCGTATGTTGTAGCAATAAAAAGTACCAGAATGAGTGCACATATATATTTTATAAATGTAGAGAAAATGTATATTATTATTATTATTTTATACACATTGCATCGGTATTATGCATTTAGGCATCCTTATTCTCACAAATGCCTTACTGTATTATCTATTGGCCCTTTGTTTATATGAAGTCACGCGTCGCATATTGCGACACGCGACGCATATCGCGACACGCGACGCATATCGCGACTCGCGGTTTTGCGTCTATTGTTTTGACACACGAGCCGCGAACGTTTTACGTAGTGGACCGATTTCTTTCACAAGCGACTTCTTTTACATTTTTCGGTATTCTAGTTATATTTTTCTGTTTCTGTGTTACTTATTCAGTTCTTTTCGTTATTTATCTTTTCTTTCTGTATTATTCACTTATATTGCTTTGTAGTTAGTAGGTTTGTAGTTTGTAGGTTTGTAGTTTATAGGTTTGTAGTTTATAGTTTATAGTTTGTTAGTGGTTTGTAGGTTTGTAGTTTGTAGTTTGTAGTTTGTAGTTTATCTCCGCTATTTTCGCTTTCTCTATCTCTCTCTCTCTCTCTCTGTTCTTTGTGTCTCCTCTTTTTTCTCTGTATTTAATATGGAAACGTGCGATGAATTTAAGAAACGGCCGAAAAAAATTCTCCCAAGGTTGGCTTGGCGATGATCGGTACAAATCATGGATACGTCAAGTACCAGACGATAATACTTCGTTTTATTGCAGTATATGCAATAATAAGTATTCGTGTTCATCGCATGTTTCCAGGCATGTGGATTCTGCATGTCATAAGAACAATATAAAAGGAAATATTTCGGGTAATAGTAATGACATATTGAAAAATAAAAAACCACTGAGCAATAGAACATTTAAATCACAGTGGCTAGACATAAAAGATATGCAATCGTGGTTACGCGAAGTACCTGAAAATGTACATTCATTTCATTGTTTATTTTGTGAAAGATCAATCAGTATAACAAGTAGTGATCTATCACAAATATATAGACACGCAGAATCCCAACTTCACAAACGGAATTCCGAAAAAAGCGATATAAAGTCAAACGAATCGGACATAGATTTGAATACGCAAAGTGATGAATCACTTTTGACTTTTGATGAGCGAAAGAAATCAGCGGAAATACGATTTGCCGGTCACGCAGAGTTTTTGTGATAAAAGAAATATCTTTAAAAGATGATTCTCTGTTATTATCAAATAGAGCTACGTTAGGTTTAAAAACTTGTAATTTATGCAAAAATACATTACTAACAGGAAATCTCTTTTTAATTTCCTCGGCAGCGGTAATATAAAATTCTAAACAATTTTGTCGAACATTTGTTATAACATCTTCATGTCCTTCCTTTACAAATCTACACAGATATTTTTCACATTGTGATCCCAGAGTAATGTCAACAAGAGATTTGTGATTTTGTTCTTCATTAAATGAAATGTTCGTTAGCATATCTTTTAATAATTGTGATTTTAAAAAGTTTTTGCAGATTTGCGTAAGAAAATGTACAGATTTGGGTTGTAATAAATTAATTTTTGTTTCATGAGCTTGAAAGAAAGCATTAAATGAATTAAAGAAATTTAAAACGTATTTTAGAAATAGGAAATATGCTTTTGTTTCTACATTTTCCATTATAGTCAATAAATATTCTCCGGACTTTGTCTTCTCGCTCACTGTCATTTCAATAAGAAAATGTCGTATTGTATTCCATGACTCAAGAAGTCTGTCAATACATAAATAATGAGAGAGCCATCGAGTATCGCATAACTTCAAAACTTTCCGATTTGTATCTTGAAAACAATCACGAAAGTCATTAAAAACAGCTAAACGCTTTGGGCTGCTGTTGATATAACTCGCAATTTTTCTCAAAAACTCTTCACAAAAAACAGGTATTTTAGCACATGCAGCATGTGCAGCCAATGCGGCGGAATGACAAGGACATGAAAATGTTAATAAATGTTTGGATTTTGATTCTAATTTTGTTTTAAAAGATAAATGTTTTCCTGTCATGACTGACGCATTGTCGCATGACAGAGCAATAATGTTTGAAAATGGAATTTGCAGTTTATACATTTCATATTCAAACGCATTAAATAATTTCTCTGCACTACAATCTTTAGCATCGATGTTAATTAACTTTACTAATTGCGACCGAATGTCTAAAGTTTCGGGATCAACATAACAAACGAGAAACGTCATCTATTTGTCATTGGTTATATCAGATGTTTCGTCAATAAAAATAGAAAATTTTGTATTTCGGATATTATTTACTACCATACACGTTCTGTCTCAACCGGACACAAAACATTCGAAATAATATTAGTACATTTCGTTCGACCCATAGTCATGCTGTTCAGTACTTTAGGATCTTTTCCTATGTCTTGAAAAAGTCTAAGAATCGCTTGTGCTGTTTGATGAGGAATATTTTTCTCAGTTATTAACGCGGCAAATCGTATTTCCGCTGATTTCTTTCGCTCATCAAAAGTCAAAAGTGATTCATCACTTTGCGTATTCAAATCTATGTCCGATTCGTTTGACTTTATATCGCTTTTTTCGGAATTCCGTTTGTGAAGTTGGGATTCTGCGTGTCTATATATTTGTGATAGATCACTACTTGTTATACTGATTGATCTTTCACAAAATAAACAATGAAATGAATGTACATTTTCAGGTACTTCGCGTAACCACGATTGCATATCTTTTATGTCTAGCCACTGTGATTTAAATGTTCTATTGCTCAGTGGTTTTTTATTTTTCAATATGTCATTACTATTACCCGAAATATTTCCTTTTATATTGTTCTTATGACATGCAGAATCCACATGCCTGGAAACATGCGATGAACACGAATACTTATTATTGCATATACTGCAATAAAACGAAGTATTATCGTCTGGTACTTGACGTATCCATGATTTGTACCGATCATCGCCAAGCCAACCTTGGGAGAATTTTTTTCGGCCGTTTCTTAAATTCATCGCACGTTTCCATATTAAATACAGAGAAAAAAGAGGAGACACAAAGAACAGAGAGAGAGAGAGAGAGATAGAGAAAGCGAAAATAGCGGAGATAAACTACAAACTACAAACTACAAACTACAAACCTACAAACCACTAACAAACTATAAACTATAAACTACAAACCTATAAACTACAAACCTACAAACTACAAACCTACTAACTACAAAGCAATATAAGTGAATAATACAGAAAGAAAAGATAAATAACGAAAAGAACTGAATAAGTAACACAGAAACAGAAAAATATAACTAGAATACCGAAAAATGTAAAAGAAGTCGCTTGTGAAAGAAATCGGTCCACTACGTAAAACGTTCGCGGCTCGTGTGTCAAAACAATAGACGCAAAACCGCGAGTCGCGATATGCGTCGCGTGTCGCGATATGCGTCGCGTGTCGCAATATGCGACGCGTGACTTCATATAAACAAAGGGCCAATAGATAATACAGTAAGGCATTTGTGAGAATAAGGATGCCTAAATGCATAATACCGATGCAATGTGTATAAAATAATAATAATAATATACATTTTCTCTACATTTATAAAATATATATGTGCACTCATTCTGGTACTTTTTATTGCTACAACATACGAATCTGAAATTGTACCAAATATAGTTTATATTTTCTGAACTATTTATATTTAAACAAAACTTTTTTATTAATAATAACGTTAATGCAACATAAAAATGATATCTCGCTAACTATTTGTTGAAAGAAAAAGTGGTACTAGACTTTTTTGCTCTATTTGAGTTTCAAGAATATATTGTTACAATAGCGCCTTGACTTTTGTAACTTTTGGAAATTTCAAAATCATCAAAGTAATAAAAGTCAGAGCACTATTGTAACGATATATTCGTGAGACCAAACAGAACAAAAAAGTCTAGTACTACTTTTTCTGTCGACAAATAGTTAACGAGATATCGTGAGCTAAATATTGAAAAAATTCAAGTTTTCCTTAACCCCTTGACATATAATGACGTATGGGAGACGTCATTCATTTCATGTGCTATTGTAGATTTTGATGTCTCCGAGACGTCAAGAACTGTCTCCGGCGGACGCCGAGAATCGTGCGTCGATTCTGTTTTGTTTTAAATGCTCATTATAATGTTATTTAATTATTGTTATTTATTTATTGTTCATATATTATGTTATCCATTAAGGGGTAACATCAGTGTAGAATTTTGAAAAAATCGATTTTTTTTTTGCTTAAACGATAGTTTTGACCTTCAAAAATAATATCCTCAAGGCTTTTGGCCGAAAAATTTTTTTTTACCGACATATAACGACCAAACCTAAAACCCGCCCGTTGCGCGCTCAGCGTGCGCTCGACACTTCAAAGCGTTTACTGGTCTTAGGTATATATTTGTCTCAGACTATTCATTTTTAAGCTTAGCTAGTATATACATAAATGGCATTAGAAGTATTTTTGACTACGTATATGTTAACCTAGCAACAGTACGACCGTTAGAAGGACGCTACCTGTAGAGTTGAAAAGACGTTACGGTTAGAAATTCCTCTCTTCTAAGTGAATATTTGCCGAAATTTCAACCATGAGTGACAAAAATGTTGTGTATTTTGGAAGAAAAGGTACCAGAGAGTCTAGTTGGCATTCTCATCGAAGAGGTATGGGAAAACATCGACCGAAAAATCGTTATGAAGCGGAGAGAGACGTTGAAGGAGTGAGCACGTCTGCCAAGAAATTGAAGACTGCAAGTGAAAGTGACATTAATGTTAATCAATCATTTGGCTACTGCTTCGTTAATTTTGTTGCCGTTTTTACTGCTATCTCGAATGTTGTAGTGTGCCATAAGTGCCATTCTAGAGTGACTTTTAGTCATACTTCAATGCGCGGCTTGGGCTTAAAAATAAATGTTACATGCGAAATGTGTGACAATATTAGTAGTGTTCCGAACAGTCCATTTATTAGAAATGCGTACGAACTGAATAGACGAATAGTACTAGCAATGCGTTTATTAGGAATCGGTATGAATGGATTGATCAAGTTCTGTGCCTTCATGGATCTGCCTCGGCCGATATTTCAAACCGTTTATACAGCTGCTGTGGATATAATTTCGGTCGCCGCTCGCTCGGTGTGTCAGATTAATATGGAGAGAGCAGTGAAAGAAGAGAAGGAAATGACTTCTGCAGAAGGACGAGATGATAATGAACTGACTGTATCTGGCGATGGATCTTGGAGGAAACGAGGATTCACATCGCTTTTCGGCTTAGTTTCTTTAATTGGCTGGCATACCGGAAAAGTTGTCGACATCATCGTCAAATCTAAGTACTGCAAAATTTGTGAAACTTGGGAAAAGAAAAAAGATACCGAAGAGTATGCGGAATGGCTTGAAACGCATAAGACAGTTTGCCAGTCAAACCATGAAGGCTCTGCAGGAAAAATGGAAATAGATTCAGTAATCGAGATGTTTAAACGTTCCCTTAGTTTGTATAATATGAAATACATTTCTTACATCGGCGACGGTGACAGTAAAACTTTTAAAGGACTTATAGATGCTCAGCCTTATGAAAATACTGTTGTGCAGAAAAAAGAATGCATCGATCACGTGCAAAAACGCATGGGAACTCGATTGCGTAACGTTAAAAAATCAAAAAAAGGCCTAAGTGGAAAGGGTAAATTGACTGGTAAACTTATTGACGATTTAAGTCAATATTATGGTTTGGCAATTCGACGTAATCCTAACTCAATAGAAGGTATGAAAAATGATATTTGGGCAACTTTATTTCATAAATTGTCAACAGACGAGAAGCCTCAACATGAAAAATGCCCGCCGGGAGAAGATTCGTGGTGTACGTGGCAAGTAGCTTATGCTGAAGGAACCTTAGATGATTATAAACATCCACCGCCAATGAACCTCGAAGTTTTTGAAGCGATTCAACCTATCTACAAAGATTTAAGTAGAGATGATTTGCTTGAACGTTGCACAGGAGGATACACTCAAAATAGCAATGAAAGTTTCAATTCAATAGTTTGGTCTATCGCTCCGAAAACAAAAAAAATATTGGACTTGAGTGCAGATATTGCTGTTAGTATTTTTAACGATGGACTGCAAGCAGTTTTAAGAATAATGGACACCATGGAAATAACAATTGGCAATAATTGCTACAACTTCTGCCTCGAAGCCGATGCGAAGCGAATTCAATACTCCGAGCGCTCGCTCACTGATAAAGCGAAAGAGGCGCGCCAATCCTTAACAGCGGCCAGAAAACAAGGAGAAGAAGAAAATAGCAACATAGAGGGTCAACTTTATGGTTCTGGAATAGCTGACTAATGGTAAGATCATACACAAACTCAATTTTTTTGAATTTATATGAGAACTATAGCGTTCTAAAACTTTAAAGCGTTTTTTCTCGAAACTACATTTTTCAATCTTGCGCGACAAATAACTTTTACAATTTTTGGTAGAATAATTTCAGATTTTAACAGCATCTTTAAAAATAGATTATCTAAAGAAAAGCGTAGGGATTTTTCGAAATATTGATTATTTCTTTTTTTATAAACAATTTTCAGCCAAATTTTTTCGTGAAAATTACTACATAATTTTCAAATGCGTGCCATTTCTACAAAAATTAATTTTTCAAAAAACCCCTACGCTTTTCTTTAGCTTTTGAGCTAAACTTTGAAAAAAACTTTCGTTTTTTATTCTAGGTTATGATTTACGTCTTCTATTTGTCGCGCAGTGGAGCGCGGCGAAAAAAACCCACCTGGCTTTAATCTGTAGTACGACCGCCATTTTTTAATAAAAACGTTCCGCAAAATTCAGGGATATACCTTAAGATGTGTACAATAAGCCTATGTAATCTGTTTTTTACCTTAATATTCCCTGTTCTCCAAAAAAATTCCCAAAAATGACCCTTGAAAACAGGTCTCTACACTGATGTTACCCCTTTTAAGATAATATATGAACCTGATTAAATGTTATATAGCAATGCAAATTTTAAAATAAAATGTTCTGTTTTTAAGCTTACACATAACTGTTCAGCTGAGCTAAATTAAGTAATATTTTTCAAACGCATCAAATTCCGTTTTATTTGTATGTCAAGGGGTTAAATATCTCAAAAAATATTAAGCACATAAAAAAATTTTTCAGAAAAAGGTTGTTCAAATTAATTGGTAGAAAAAATAATAAAAAACTAAAATAAGATACTCTACGTACGTAATGATATTTGGATATAACGTATATATACATACATATATATATATACATATATACATTAACATATACATATAAATATATATATACATATATATACATTCTTTTAATCACACGTGTAATCACACGTGTAATCATATGTGATATATAATGTGATGTAAATTAAGTTTTATTTCTGTTGAAAATTAATTATACACTATTAATATTTATACTAGTTCAGCTAATTTTAGAAATTAGCTGTAATTGCCGTTAAAAGTAAATAATTTCTATTGAGTATATTGCAAAAAGGATTTTATCATAAATATATGTATTATTTTTAATATTATATTACGTAAAACATGTGTACGGTCTTTTCCGGTTAATCTGTAGAAATACCGAGTTATATTTGACCGTTTCGATGTTTTAATGTAGTATATTGTTTTTGTATGGTAAAAGTATAACTTTGAAATTTTCTGAGTTGTTAACGCACGACTTGTGTGTGCTGTTTCTTTATTGTGATACAAAAATTTATTCTATTTGTTCCACCTTTAACAGAATCTACTATTAAGGAGAATATTAATTAAAAAATCGAAACGATCAAAAATTATTTGGTATTTCTAATGTCTTTTTCTTTTTCTATATTCCTTTCTCTATTCTTTATTCTGTCCTCTGCCTTTTGTTCTCTGTCCATTAGCTTTCTATATTTTACGCCTATCCTTTTGTATTTATTTTGTCTATCCTTTCTATCTATTCTCTTGTATCTATATTCTTAGAAAATGTAAAAAAGTATGTTCTTTTTTAATATGTGTATATATATCAAAATTATTCTATATATGAAATAGTTATAATAGAGAAAACATTTTTTTCATTTATCATTGATGGAACATACATTTATATTTTCTTATTGATGAAGAGACCACCACCTTCTCGCGGTTTCTGTTGAGCAACAATATGTACGTTATTATTTACAAAATAAATGTGCATGAGGTTAATGCATATAATCGCAAAATTATTTTGCTTTATTTCATTATATTTGTTTGTTTAGCACGTTTCAGATTACAGTGTTAGAATAATTTAAAAATTAAATTACATAATTTACTTTTATATTTCTTGTGTGCTAATAATAAATTATCTCTTAAATTAACATAAGTTATTTTTCCATAACATAATATTATTCTTTTGCGAAGAAGACGTACATGTTGGCCAAGAGTGGATTGTTCAAATTATTGCTCTCTCTCTCTCACTCTTTCTCTCGCCCGCGTGAAAATATCGTCGGCGAGTCAACGCGTATTTTGAAGCTAGCGATGTGTTATAGCTATAGCTATACTATAGGAAAGAAAGAGATCGCGCAGATGGCGCTTTCCTTCTCTACTACCCGAAGCTTGCCGAACGCCGAGCGCACACGGACACGGCTCAACACGTGCATACGTTCCCCCTCCATGTGCGCGGGCTGGGTGGCAATGCAGCGAATCTGGCAGCTCTAATTATCACCAATTTCACGACAAGCGAATCGTTTGAATAATCATCCGTGCGCGGTAAGCCTTCTCGAAATTCTATCACGCATCGTCCCGATTTCGCCACTTCATGCTGTAATTGGCGGTAAGCCTCTTGCCACTCGGCATAATAAAATAGGATCCTGTCGAAACGGGTATCCGCCATTGCAGGTAAATAACGAAGAAAAGTCTTTACGAAAACCGTTTTCCCACAACCCGTCCGCAAATGATAGATGTCCAAGGATGTTTCTAGCGCACGTCCATTTTGCTAAATGACTGATTCGGTTACCTAGTGAAGCAATATAAATACTGGAGAAAAGAAGAAACGACGATGAGCTTATAACCCGCGCCGTGGGGCCTCTTCCGCGGCGGCCCCTCTAGTTCATATCCGCGGAAGCGCCATGTTAAATAAGCTTTTTCACGTGGCGCTCGCGGCCGCGGGAATAGTTTATTTTAGCGCTGCTAGCGATATTAGCTTGTCAGCGCGAAGTTGTAAGCTAATAATCGCTCCATGAATTTGTACGAGCGAACGTTTGTGAAAGAGACAGCTTCTAGCGATACAATTTACTAAGATTTTATTGTGATTCGAGGGAGTATTCAAGGATAGAAATACATATATATTTATAAGTGAATTTATTTCTTTATTTTTGCAAAAGAATTATTTTAATATTATATACATAGTTTGTACAAAAGTTTTCCTTCTAAACTACTGTGTACGCAATATACAGAAAAGTCATTATTGAGAAAAAACAGTCGTATATTTTTATACAGAATACTTAACTCGATAAATTATGATCTGCTTTAACGCTTCATATCTCGCTTCGCAGAACTGAACGACGATTTTGCCACAGGAAAAAGTCGTTTCTTGTGCAAAAACGCGTCGAATGAGCCTAGTCTCATTAAAATCGGAGCTGACTGTGTACTTCTAAATATTTACCCTTAACTCTACGAGGGTGGTCCGATAAGTACTTAGCCTACAAAAGAAAAACGAAAATTTTGGAAAAGTGGCGATTTATTTCTCAACATAGTCTCCTTTTAGCTCGATACACTTGACCCAGCGATGCTCCAACTTCTTTAACCTGTCTGAAAAATACGTTTTCTCGAGGTCTTCAAAGTAGGCCTCCGTGGCGGCGATGACCTCCTCATTCGACTCAAATTTCTGCTCGGCGAGTGACTTTTTCAAGTTTGGAAACAAAAAGAAGTCGCACGGGACCAAATCTGGAGAATACGGTGGATGGGGCAGCAGTTCGTAGCCCAATTCGACCAATTTGACCGTGGCGAGGGCGGAGGTGTGAGCCGGTGCGTTGTCATGGTGGAAGAGCACTTTTTTCTTCGCCAAATGGGGCCGTTTTTTCTGCAATTCGGCGTCGAATCGGCCCAATAATTCGGCATAGTACAGCCCTGTGACCGTTTTGCCCTTCTCCAGGTAGTCGATGTAGATCACACCTTGTGAATCCCAGAAAACGGTGGCCATCACCTTTCCGGCCGATAAGACAGTCTTCGCCTTCTTCGGAGCACGTTCGCCGGGTGAAGTCCACTGTTTCGACTGTTCCTTGGTCTCTGGTGTGTACCAGTGGATCCATGTTTCGTCGACGGTCACGAAACGACGCAGAAACTCCTTCAGATTGCGCTTAAACAGCGTCAAACACTGCTCTGAAGTGGTCTCACGGTTGCGCTTGTTGTCCGGAGTGAGCAAACGCGGCACCCATCGCGCCGACAGCTTTCTCATGCCCAAAATTTCATGCAGGATATGACCCACGCGGTCTTTTGAGATGCCTACTGTCTCAGCTATCTCGCGCACCTTCAATCGGCGGTCTGCCAATACGAAATCGTGGATTTTTGTCATGTTATCCTCCGTGGTAGCCGTTTTCGGGGCACCTGGGCGTGGCTCATCAAAAACCGATGTGCGACCACGTTGAAACTCGTTAAACCAATTTTTGACGGTCGCCATCGAAGGAGAAGAGTCACCGTACACAGCATCCAAGCGCTCTTTGATTTCGCTGCGCGATTTCCCTTCCAAAAACAAGAATCGAATCACCGACCAATATTGCTCTTTTTCCATTTTTCTAAAATCCACGGACACGCCCGCTTCCACACGCGGTCAAAACAAAACTACGAGTCCGATTCGGCTGAAATTTTGACAGTAGCCGTCTACGAGAATGTACTACACGATAGTAAATTTCTCTTGCGATAGTGGCGCCATCGGGCGGTAAGGCTAAGTACTTATCGGACTGCCCTCGTATATTTACATTTATACATTTTTCTTATTCTCTAGAAATAAATGTTCAGATTCGAAGAAGGAGAAGAATCAACTGACTACTCTCTTACGACACTACGTAGCCATTTGGCAGAGAGTGTCCTGTGTTGTTGTCGAATTTACGTTTTAGTAACACAGGCATGCACGACTTGCTCTCGTCTCTCGTTACGACGTCGTGAAATGCGGTACACCGAATCGCTCTAAAACGTAAATTTATCGATGTTTTCCGTGTATCCTCCTCCTTCTCATCTTTCTCGTTTTCGGCTATTAATAAATTTTTTATACTGCTAAAGTTAATATATCTCGAATTTTCAAAGCTTAAGGTTATCCCCTTTACTTTACAAACTTCGTGAGTTCTACCTTGCGGGGTACGCACAACGTAGGAGTAA